ACATGTGGCATATTGATTAAAGTGAATAAAACCAAACTCACTCTCACTCAACAGGAGATATCACATGGGTGAGCTGTGGGTGCTTGCTAAATGAATCATGGGTGAATTGCAATCTAACTTCAGGTGCTTCAAAACCTCAGCTAAAATGAATCCCATAGACATCAGTTTTATCAGAACCAGTAAGTGCACTTGAAATACATGTACATTGGTATCAGGGCATGGTCTGTCATTTAAACAGATGATATCCAATTATAACTGAGCAAACTAATTGATTCATTACACACATCAATTTTGTTTGTTATTGAAATTAAACCGAGAAAAATATGTTGCTAGTATAAGGTTGATGTTGAAAAACTGCATTTATAGTTTATGATTCAGCCATAGGCAGTTCCATCCCTGAAGATATATCCAATAAATTGTGCTGTTGTATCTCAGACTGATTCATGGAAAGGATGAGATGCAGATACTAAAACCATATTTTTATATCATGAACACAAACATCACCAAGTTAGAACATATGCATCGACTGAAAAATCTGGTTTCAGTTTATTAAACTTAGTTTGGTAAAGTCAAGGGAGAGCGAGAGACGATCGATTCCTCGAATCGTGTTGGCTTGTGATTTCATATGTGTCAGATCCCATTTTAATGACCATTGCCAAAATTAGTTCTTTCTTGGTGGTGTTATTAAACCCATAAAAAAGGTTTAATGTACCAGCAGTAACTCTCGTATCACAATGCCAGACCATTGTGACATCACTGGTTACCATGAGACCACTGACCTCTCAGATTGCTACAGAAGCTTTTGACACTCAAAACACTGTATTTAAATTTAACAAGTCAAGTTTGCTCTACCCCCATGTGTATTGTAATAAAGTATAGCTTTGCTTTCAGCTATTATAAAATAAAGCCCTTGGACCCCAAAGTGTAATAAATCATAATTTAGACCTGAACTATTAATGTTAAAGCATGAGGTTGCTTTTCTAAGAAGCTGAATTTAACCTGAACTTTGTGCTTTGTTGGTGGGAGATTTAAGAGAAATCTCTAACAAACTGTGCCTAAAATTGAAAATCCTCAAACAGGGCGAACTGAAGCACTGTTCCACTAAATTGCATTACATTAGGAGACAAAATATGTTTTAAACGTAATAAAACACCACTGAAATGGTTGGTTTATAGTCAGATAAGTCCCATGTTATTACCTGTTCAGTGTGTGATCATGTATAACCCACTGCAGTATCATAAAGGTTATAAATTTCAGTTTTTATAATGATTTATTTCAATTTAATCACACCACTCGAAACATTCCACAAGTGCATTGTGGGGCCAAGTTTAAACACGATCTTGTAAGAAAAAGTAAAGTGTTTTTGAGTCACAGGTTATAATTTTTAGGTGTTTTCTGTCATAAATGCTTCAACTTTGTTCTACCACTAACATTAACAGGCTGCAGCAATTGCAAGCCGTGAAATAGTGTGCTTACCAAGTTGGCTGCACATCATGATAAGTAGACTAACATTTAGTCCCCGAAATATAGTTATCTTACTAATATTATATATGTGCAAAAATATTTTGAAAGAAAACCCCAAAGAAGCCCAGAAGAATTCTTAATTTTCTAGAGCTGAGGCAATCTAGATTTGAGTTTGGCTCCTATTTATTTATTCTCTAGGATCTGTTAGACAGACTACTTGATGCCAAGACTGATGTAAGTCGACGGCCTGGGGTATGATACGGTATCGTTGTTAGACGACCATGGCAGGGAAAGAACAACAGCAGTGGGTTTGACTTGACTGCAGTGTGTTGCAGCTAACGGCCTTACAGTCTGAGCAAAGGTGTGCTTGTGCTTACCCAACTCTCCATGGATTGCTCATGCCATGTCTAGAGATGGTCATAATTATTGTAAGAGATGACTAACGGGATCGGGTGATCAGGCTCCTTGACTTGGTTGACACACGTCATCTTATCCCAATTGTGTAAATCAACAATTACATCAATCACTGGATTGTCTGGCCTAGACATGATTATTTCCAGACCGTCATGACATAGGCGGATTATAGCAACAACAAACAAACAAACAACAGTAATAAAAGAACAAAGGGAATTGAGCTAATCTGAACAGCGTCATGAAGTGAATCTATTATATGACGTAACTCAAAAAGTGTAACTTCTTTGAGTGGCATTTTAGAAGATGGGAAGTACAATATAGAACAAACTTTAAGGATAACAACTTTATGGATAACAAAATAAAAGAAGTTGTTATTCATAAAGTTTGTTCTATATTCAAAAAGTGTCCTTTATCATTGGATAATGTTCAGTCAGTGCTTTGATCTGTCAGTGAAGCATCAAAGAAAGCAAGGTCAAACTGACAAATTTGTAAGAAAAAATGTCCCCCAATGTATCTTTTTACATGAAGTATGTGAACACATGTTGATGTAACATGCAAACCATGGTGTTCTATACATTTATGGACACAGGTAGATACATTTTATATCAAAAGACTCAGGGTAGATTCTCTACACATTTCTGATGATAATTATCTGATTATTTGCGGTGGTGGGGTAGCCTATAGTCCGTTTGGCTCAAAAGCGGACCGATGAATTGCAATCTAACTCGAAAACTAATAAACATAAAATACTCAATGAACGCTGATCATAATCAAAACATCATACCAACTCTGTGAGGTTTTTGCAGAATTTTTGTCCTAAAAATAAAAAGTTGTTTAACAATCTATCATTAAAATATTGACACAGTTCACTATTTGTTACGAGGGAGGAGTGCAGAGAAAGGGACAACCAGGTGTTCGAGAACGGATGGAGACGGCACAGCACAGGTTAATGAATAAATAACTTTGTCTGTGAACGTGATTCTCGAACACCTGGCTGTCCCTTTCTCTGCACTCCTCCCTCGTAACAAACAGTGAACTGTGTCAATATTTTAATGACAGTTTGTTAAACAATTTTTTTATTTTTGGGACAAAAATTCTGCAAATAAATCACAGAGTTGGTATGATGTTTCGATTATGATCAGCGTTTCATTGAGTACTTTATGTTTATTAGTTTTCGAGTTAGATTGCAATTCATCGGTCCACTTTTGAGCCAATAGTGGTTAAAGAGTTGGCTCTGAGTCAACTCAGTCAGTCTGATTATTTGTTTGTTAATTTACTAATACCAAAATACACTTGTGTGATGCATGTGAAATTTGCAAATTTTGCATGAAATGAGAGGTCGTGAATGACATGGCTAACATGAAGTACTTTACATCTTCTTGTATTCCATAATAGACTCTGGCATGTGTGGAATTTCTCGGGGAACAACATCTGAGGTCTGAAAGACTGCCTGGTTGATGCTCATCCAACAGTTATTTATGGACAAAGTACATTCATGTACGACATTCACCATGTTTGAGCAGTGGTCTGAGTTGTTTCAAACTTCTATCAGAGTTATGTCCCTTATCCAGGTCAGAATCACTGACGGACTGACTGTTTGGTTTCACGGCGCTTTTAGCAATATTCCAGCAACATCACATCCGGGGACACCAGAAATAGGCTTCACACATTGTACCCATGTGAGGATTCGAACCTGGATCTTCGGCGTGACGAGCCAAAGCTTTAACCACTAGGCTACCCCACCGCCCCTTCAGGTCAGAATCAGCTGATGTAGGATTCAAGTCCAAGATTTGCCTAATTTGATCCTTGATCTGTATGGACCCAATTGCTTGAACATCCCATGAATTTGGCAGAATTTTCTACAAAGGACTTAAAACTAGATTTTGCATTCGGTTTCAAATTCAATTCAGCAAATTTAAATATGCAATATGATATAACTCTATACAGAAAACACAGAATGCACAATGTTTATCTCCTAAGGGCTAAACATGTTGATGTCTTTGATAAAATTGGTAAATTAAGTAATTTTATGTCTGAAATTAAATCTTGATATTTTATGTAGAGCCATCAACTTAATCGTATCAGCTGATGAAATTGAATTACTTAAATCAATTCGTACATCCCTTTTGAAACCAAAATATTTGCCAGCAATGGCAATTACAACCTTTCAACAGATAACAATCAACTTCACCCAGTGCTGTAATAACAAATTTTTGAAAATGTCACCATGAAAAATTGACTTTGTGGTTAAAAGGTTCAGCCATTATTCCCAAAGGTGGCATTTTTGTTTAAGCCATTAGACTCTGTCAGAATCGAAATTGATTTAAGTGGAAGATTCTGCTAGCTAGGTCGTAAGGGCATTCCAAATATGGAATTCATTTCTTAAATGATGCATGCTAGGAATCACGTTATAAAGAGAATCAAACCAGCATCTTTAAATATCAAGCGTATCAACACAAGTCCAAACCTACAAGGATTGTTGAAAAATGATAAAACAATTTATCTTCCAAACTTGATAGGTTTCACAGTAAGGACAGAATGGATGTCACTACTGAATGCTGTGACATGATGAGCCTCCATTAACCCTTGTACGGTTGGCAGAATGCGAAAAAATAAAATATAAGTTGAACCAATGAATAGTGATCAAACCCAATATTTAAACAATGGCAACCATTTCTCAAAGCTGAATAACATGATTCTTAAACTGAGACACATAATACACATGCATACACACTTGGTTGTTTGTAGTTTAATGCCACACTCAGCAATTTTGTAGCTATATAATGGTGGTCTTTAAAGCATCATGTCTGGGCTAGACAATCCAGTGACTGACAACATGAGGATAAATTTACAAAACATGGTCAGTTGGTTGGTTGTTTAACACTGCACTCAGCAATATTCTAGCTATATGGCGGCGGTTTGTAAATAATAAAATCTGGACCAGACAATCTTGTGATCAACATCATAAGCATCGATCTATTCAACAGGGACTCAATGACATTTATCAACCAAGTCAGCGAACCTGACCACCCGATCATGTTAGTCGCCTCTTACGATAAGCATGGGTTTCTGAAGACCAATTCTAACTCGGATATTCACTGGTAAATTTACATAGTACTTACTTTAAACTTGGAAGACAGGAGTGCTGTAATACTGTTTTGAGTCAAGGTGTCCGTCGGTTCTGTTTCGCTGTCGGCAAAGTCGAACTGGGTAAAAGGAGTCTGAGGTCCGTTTTTGTTACTTGCATGGACTGGGCTAAGTTTGGGCAGTTTTGGGGACCGAGGAATTCGTGGGGAGCGTGGAGCCCTGGATAACCTTGGTGACCTTTGATACTCGTTCCGGTTCGAGTTGTAGATAGGAATCCGTATTTGTGGGATCTGGAGATCATTCTGGTTCTGGTTTGGTGATGTCGGACTGAGATCATTTTGAACTGGTGTTACAGTGAACTGAAAATACAAAAGAAGAAATTCATTAAATTAAAGAAATAACAAACGTAGTTTGTATAGAAATAATTAATTTGGATTATAAGGCAGATCTTTGAATGGCATTTAGAAGTGATACACATAAGGAAGACAGTTTTTATGGATGTAAACCTGTTTATTACGAGGAACACAACGTTTCGGAGCATATCCTTACTCCTTCATCAGGTGAATGAATGGTATGAGGCAGAGACTGACTAAGTTTGGTTTTACGCCGCTTTTAGCAATATTCCAGGACACCAGAAATGGGCTTCACACATTGTACCCATGTGGGGATTCGAACCCGGGTCTTCGCCGTGACGAGCCAACGCTTTAACCACTAGGCTACCCCACCGCCCGTATGAGGCAGAGAGCACATATATGTACATGTAAGAACAACAATATTAATACGCCAACAAAGATGCAAGCATGATAGGTGACATTAAAAGTCCCAACTATCCAATGTGCCTGGATATGAGCGCCATATAAGCGGACTATTACTATTACCTTGGTAAAAGCAACAAGGACTGGTATGGTGCTGAACCCCCAAACAATTTGGGGCAAGTCTGGGCTGCAATACTTTTTTCACAGAGAGACACACTCTAACAAATTACCCTAAACATAATTAAACAGATAGAGCATTGAAACTGAATATCCCCGGTGTTATCATGTAAATGTACCTACATACATTGGAGTGATTTGTTAAAATGAAGTACAACACACAATCACAAACTCAGAATGAATGCAATTATGCACTACTTTTAGAAAAGTGAGAAAAGAGATAAGTGTGACAGGTGACATTAAAAGTCCCACCTGTCCAACCCCTATGTTATAACATTCTAAATCAACAAGAAGACAAAGTCATCAATATCCCCCACAATGGCAAAATACGCTTCATGGTTATGTCTACGAGTTATGATTATGTCAAATATTTAGGTGTGTATATAGAAAGGTGGAAGGAGAGTATTGAAAGGTTTTTAAAGTTCTGCTCCAGAAAGCAGCACCATCACCAATTTCAGGCTAAGTCAAACTTGTTGCCAAGGAAATGCCAAAAATATTTTATTTAGAATTCCAAAACTACCAAAAGGCACCAGTACACCACAAGAACAATCTATGTGCCAAGTTTGGTGAAGAAACATTGAACGGTTTTAGAGTTCTGCTCCAGAAAAGAGCACAACCACCAATTTCAGTCTAAGTCAAACTTGTTGCCATGGAAACGCCAAAAATATTTTATTCAGAATTCCAAAACTACCAAAAGGCACAAGTACACCACCAGACCAATCTATGTGCCAAGTTTGGTGAAGAAATAGTGAACAGTTTTAGAGTTCTGATCCGGAAAAGAGCACAACCACAATTTCAGTCTAAGTCAAACTTGTTGCCATGGAAACGCCAAAAATATTTTATTCAGAATTCCAAAACTACCAAAAGGCACCAGTACACCACCAGATCTATCTATGTGCCAAGTTTGGTGAAGAAACATTGAACGGTTTTAGAGTTCTGCTCCAGAAAAGAGCACAACCACCAATTTCAGTCTAAGTCAAACTTGTTGCCATGGAAACGCCAAAAATATGTTATTCAGAATTCCAAAACTACCAAAAGGCACCAGTACACCACCAGATCTATCTATGTGCCAAGTTTTGTGAAGACGTATTGAACGGTTTTAGAGTTCTGCTCCGGAAAAGAGCACTACCACTAATTTCAGTCAAAGTCGAACTTGTTGCCATGGAAACGCCAAAAATATTTAATTCAGAATTCCAAAACTACCAAAAGGCACCAGTACACCACCAGATCCATGTATGTGCCAAGTTTGGTGAAGAAATATTGAATGGTTTTAGAGTTCTGTTCCGGAAAAGACAAATGTGCAATGGACGGACGCACGCACACACGCACGGACAGAGTCCATTTTAATACCCCCTGCAAAACGCGTTGCTGGGGATAAAAAGTCAAATGCTGACAATCAACCATGGATTCACTGTCAACCAGTCCCCATCACCCATTAGGCATCAACCATTAAATACATGTATCAATGAATCACTATCCATTATTCACTGCCAACCATTCATCTTCAATCACTGAATATCAATCATTAACCATCAACCCTTTAACCAACCATTCACCATCAACTATTTACCATCAACCACTCACCATCAACCATTTTTCAGCATCCATTCAAAGTATGCCTTTCACCAAAATATTTCAACTATTTCTCGGTTATATGAACACATCTGAGAAATTTCACAATTTCTCAACAATATTCTCCATTTCAGGTAAAAATGTACCCTTACCCAACATTTCACTTTCAGATTCAAACCCTTCAGCTAAAACACTACTTACTTAGTTACCTAAACCTATATTCAACTGTATTCAACTTCAGGCACATCATTGATAATGTAAATTGTCAGGTTATTGCGAGAATGCTGTCTCACATTCATTACATAACAGACACACAACACCAGACATGCATCACCCTTCTCTTCCATCACCTGTACACAGCCGATCAAAGTTACACTTACTCATTTTAATCTTCACGTTTCATAATAACATCAGTATTGGTTGGGCATGAGAGTCTACTGATGTGTTAGCTTTCAATTGCAAAGAAATCCTTTCCTCATCCTTACTGTGAAACTACCACATTTGGGGCTTGGCTGGTCGATAATAATCATCCAGATACTCACCAAAGATGGAGTCAATCTTAGAAGAAACCTATTAAGTTTGACTGCTTATTCTGGAAATTTCTTAAACAGAAGTTTCAGAAAAATCTTGATTAGATTTCACCAACTTCCATTAGAAAGCCAATGTTTTGCTTTTTAATAAATTTTTATCAGAATTTTAGTAATCTTTAGTAATTGGTTTCTGGTGTTTTCAATTCAATTCAAAACTTTACCATTTGAAGTGTTGTTTAAGTGTTGACTGAAGTAATCAAGAGTCACTTGACTGCCACGCAAAAGTAAAGTATAGTGGCATTAAAATTTAATTTCATCTACTTTTTTTTATCTAATACCTCAACTACAATTAGAGGTTGAAAAGTTAAAAGATTGAATTGCAAACATCAGCAAGAGTGTTGTGGAGTGAAACATGAGTCCACCATACAGAGCCTGCCAGCATGGAAGTGTTCTCTTTGTAACAGGGTTTGATAGGAGAAAGGTGCAGGTGCTTGTTGATAACAAACAAACGAACTGAGTGATGACAATAAATAAGTAGTTATTCTGACAATGGACAGCTTGTCATAGAATCTGCAGTACCAAGATTTTTTAGTGAAATCCAAAATATATGAAAAATTGAGAAGAGGTGAGCTAGTTCCGATAAGAGGGATACTCTACATGAATGACTGAATGCCTCAGTGAGTGAGTTTCTGAATGATTTTCTGAGTGAGACCCTGAGTGAGTGAGTGAGTGAGTTGGGTATTACGCCGTTTTTAGCAATATTCCAGCAAAATCATGGCAGGTGACACCTGAAATGGGCTTCACATATAGCACCCATGAGGGGAATTGAACCTGGGCCTTCGGCGTGATGAGCGAATGCATTAACCGCTGGGCTACCACCACCCCCCCCCCCACCACACACACACCTCTGGCAGATAGAGAAACAAACAAGAATTTGTCCCTTAGTAAGTTACAAGATCCATACTTATTGATCAACATATATCTATGTGCACAATCAACCTCAGTACAACAGAAGCAAGACCAAAAGTACAATGGAACTGGCTATCAAATGAATTTCATACCACATGACAAATTTTGTTCAAAAGAAGTATTCCCAATTCCACACCATCTAAAACAACTTCCATACCACTGACTGACTGACTGAGGTTGGTTTTACGCCGCTTTTAGCAATATTCCAGCAACATCACGGCAGGGGACACCAGAAATGGGCCACACATTGTACCCATGTGGGGATTCGAACCCGGGTCTTCAGCGTGACGAGCCAACGCTTAAACCACTAGGCTACCCCACCGCCCACTTCCATACCAATGATATAAGGACAATAAAGGGTAAAACAAATCATAATGATTCTGCACTCAAAATAACACATGGATTAGAAAACATCACATCTGATGCAGGCCACAACACAATGCTATCTATAATTTATCAATTAATTATCGGCATTGCCACGCAATACTCTGCGCAATGTACCGATGACACGGATCTCTGCTGGAGGTGTCCTCAGTCTTATCTCAAGCTTTTATTTAACACCAAATAATACATAAGGGAATCTGCCAATAAAAACAGCAAGCAGTGGGCACAGACCGAAATACATCACACACAGCTGATCAACACCTGATAACAGAACCTTGCTTGTGTCCATGAATGTGAAATTAACAGCTGTCATTCCATCCACTGAGCCATGGGAATTTTTATTGTTTAAAATTTAACAAGAGGAACTGAGTTGTCTTTGATGATTTATTTCTGTAGATGTAAGTTGATTAGTTGATTTTTTCATATTTAAATGAACATTTGTTTTTATTTATGTGAAATATATGCTGCTTTAGCTGGTGTGATTTTCTTTCAGATTAGCAAAATTGCCTCACAGTGTTTCCAAGACAGAATTAGATTTGAGAATGATCAGAGCAGTGTGAGGTTGTAAATAAACTGAAGATATGTACTGATAGAAACAAATACAGGAACACAAGGAAAATTCAGGAACACAAGGAAAATTCAAGCATAGTTTTAATATTTTCCAGTTTTCATCACCATCTTTGAATAGCGCTGTGGGAGGAAATGTGGAAATAATTAAAAGAACACTGCCATCATGTGGTGTTCCCTCAGTATATTTATAAAGACTACCCCAGAGACTGATATTCCACCAGTAGTCTGCAGCAAATGACATTCAAAATTCCCAGTTTGAATTAAATATTCATCAACTCTCAAGGACTTGAATATATAAAAAGTGAAAAGATCCCATAGGGGGACCAGACAAAGTGCCAAGCAAAACAAAGTATACACTCATGTTTGGCTAAAAATCAAACAAACAGGAACATGTTTCTCATC